AAGGCTCGCCTCATTCTCCAACAGCTTCGCTGGTAACGAAGGTAATGTTTCCATGTCCATCTGCTTCCTTCTTGCTTGTGTCTAGCTCTGGGTTGCTGCAGTGGCCCCAAACTTGGAGAAGTATACTAAGAGTGTAAGGGGCAAAATAACACATGGGGTTGCTAAAGCCTAAATTTAGGTCTTTGGCTTTGGTTTTGTAGGTCATGTGTGGTTATGAACTTGGCAGCTCACGGAGGCAGGTGGCCTTGTCCTCACGAAAGGCTGGTTGCTTGCTTTTTCTTTCTCTCTTTCTCTTTCTTTTCTTTCTTTCTTCTTTCTTTCTTTCTTTCTTTCTTTCTTTCTTTCTTTCTTTCTTTCTTTCTTTCTCTTTTCCTTCCTTCCTTTCCTTCCTTGTTCCTCCCTTCCTTCCTTTTCTTTCTTTCCTCTTCTTTCTTTCTTTCTTTCTTTCTTTCTTTCTTTCTTTCTTTCTTTCTTTCTTTCTTTTTTTCTTTCCTCAGGAATAGTTCTTGGTTGATGCCAGACCCTTTGGCCTCAGTAAACAGTGCAGGTCAGGAAATGGATCAACCACAAGGAAGAGAAACTCTGTTTGCAGCTCTTTTCGACACTGATAGATGGGACTAGGAGACTACTTTTTCCCTGCTATCAGGTAGTTTCTCAGCCAGGCCGCACACAGCAGCTCCAAATCGATGTTAACCATTACAAATTCATGACGTTAAAAGTTCACTGGGCAATGAATTTGAATACACATTTCTCCAAAGAAGACATACAAACGGCCAATAAGCACATGAAAAGATGCTCGACATCACCAGTCATCAGGGAAATGCACGTCAAAACCACCGCGAGAGACCACCTCGCAGCCATTAGCACGGCCGCTACTGGAAAAACACTGGAAAATGACAAATGTTGGCGAGGGTGTAGAGAAATGGGAGCCCGTGGTCACGGTGGGCAGGACTGTAAAATAGTGCAGCTGCTACAGTGAATAGTATGGCGGTTTCTCAAAAAATTATAGACTTCCCATTTGTTCGGGCAGTCCCACTTCTGGGGATTGGCTCAAGAGAACTGAAAGCAGGGACTCCAACTGGCATTTGCACCCCCGTGTTCACAGCAGCATTTCATAGCCAAGAAGTGGAAACAACCCAGATGACCACAGGTGGATGCGTGGCTACCCAAAACACACTGTATACACATGACCAAGTGTTATTCAGCCCCAAAAAGGAAGGGAAGTCCAACACGTGCTATGACATGGATGGACTTTGAGGACATTATACTAAGTGAAATTAGCCAGCCACAAAGCAACAGGTATCGTATGACTGCGCTTCAATAAGTTACCTAGAGTAGTCACATGCAGAGAGATGGAAACCCCAGCACTGGTAACCAGGGCCTCTGGGAGAGAGGTTAAGAGTTAGCGATTAAGGGCGATGGTTTTGGTTACCGATTACAAAAATGTTCCAGATAGGGACGGTGGTGATTGTTGCACAACAGTGTGAGTGTACTTTTTTTTTTTTAAGTTTATTTATTTATTTAGAGAGAGTGAGACAGAGTGCAAGCAGGGTAGGGGCAGAGAGAGGGAGAGACAGAATCCCAAGCAAGCTCTGCAATGCACTGTCAGTGCAGAGCCCGATGCAGGGCTCGAACCCATGAACCCATGAGATCATTACCTGAGCTGAGACCAAGAGCCAGACGCTTCACCAACAGAACCACCCAGGTGCCCCAACAGTGTGAATGTACTTAATGCCATTGAACTGTACACATAGAAATGGTTTAAATGGAAAATTCTATGCTATGTATATTGTACTGCAATTTTAAGAAAAGAGAAAGAGAATTGCCATTTACCCAGTTAAAAAAAAAAATTTAGTGTCACGCCTGGGGAGGCTGTGTTCCTTCAGCGGCCCCAAATTCTGTCTCTCTTTCGTTAAAATATTATTTTGATCCACCCTCGGGACCATCCCTCCATGGTACCCACCCTGAATTCCTCAGACTTGTCTACTGGTTCCAAGCCACGTTTCACCGCGACGAATGTCTTCATCCTAGGAGGTCCCCCACGGTTTTAGAATTCAGATACCCAGACTGTGGCTTCACCCAGAGCAGGGTGGTAGATTTGGTAACTAATGATTTTTAAAAAGAATGGAGGCAACCACATTTGCTGGGGTGCTGCAGACCAAGGCTGTACACAGGCACCTCCCCACTGGGGTGCCGACAAAAACTCTCAAGGTGGTGGGGGTGCTGCTGACCTCCCTGGGAATCCACCTGGACAGAAGCCACCTTTGGGGAAAGTGTCAGCTGGGAAGCTGGGTGGGGCAGCCTTGGAACCCACCAGAAAGCTGCCTCTGGGGGTGATGATGAACTCACTGGGATCGATCCCCCCTGGCTTCCACCTGGTGGTTGAGCTCCACGGGAATCAGGAAAGGAGCTCACACCAGAGCCCCGAGGAGAAGTCTGCAGTGCGCCCTCTACCGACAAAGCTTAGAATCTGGGTGTAGGTGTGTGAGCGTTCTTCGGAGTCTTCTTGAACTCTTCTGGATGTTTGGAATTATTCCTAAGTTTAAAAACCTAAATCAAAGAACCCCTTTAACTGAAAATGACCGAAATAAGACACTGGGGAGGATTTTTTTTTTGTTTTTACTTTAAAAAATGCCTTGGGCTCTAGAAGAGAATTTGGTTTTGGACTTTGATTCTTTTGGACTTTAAAAGATTTTGATCTCTTTGAACTTTTATCTCATGAGGGCAACACAATTTGATTTCAGACTAACTCTTTCAAACTTTAATTTGCAAGGAGATCACACTTTCATATTTTTTTTTCCTGGAAATTTGCAATGGAAAGGGGCTTAGAAGCAATGTGGGGGTTCTCGCTGCTAGCTATTTACCATTGGGCTATCTTTCTGCTAAATCTTGACCTCACTGCAAAATCTCTGAAGAGCTATGCTGGACATGGATACCATTTGGGATGCGGAATGGGAGAAATTCTGGTCATAGTGAGACCTTAGAGTTCATTTACTACTGTTTTGATCTGACCCATTTCTTTTAAAAACTTTTTTAATGCTTATTTTTATTTTTGAGACAGAGACAGAGTGCAAGCAGGGGAGGGGCAGAGAGAGAGAGAGAGGGAGACACAGAATCCGAAGCAGGCTCCAGGCTCCGAGCTGTCAGCACAGAGCCCGACGCGGGACTCAAACTCATGAACCGTGAGGTCATGACCTGGGCTAAAGTCGGCCACTTAACCGACTAAGCCACCCAGACGTTCCTGATCTGACCCATTTCAAAACCTCTCGGCAGCAAACTTTATACTGCCCAAAGCTGACCCGGGATGATTCAGACAGAAGTGGTTGGTATAGAGGGGACAGAAGGGTGAAGCTGAGAGCAGGGCCGTTCTGCTGCATGGTTGATTGCCACCTGCTGACCGTGGACTTGACAGATAAATCCGATGCTTATTTAAAAGAAGATTAGGAAGTGTAGAAGGAACACTTACTCCGTTTCCGTACAGAGGAATTCCATCCAAGTAATTCCTCCATCTTGCTTTCCAACTACAAGGAAGGATGAGCAAGTTATATGGTGGGCAAGTTGGCTGGAAGGAAATGCCATGGATTTGAGGTCCACTGGCCTTCCTAAGCTTACAGGGCTGGCCCGAGTTGTCCAGTACCATGCATGGAAAGGGGGTGAGACCATCTAATTGAGGAGTGGAGTGGCAGCAAGCCGTATGGGGCATCCAACCCATTTCCTCCAAAGCCGTTTCCTCCAACACCTTTAATCAAGACGATGCTTTCATCTCCACCTGCCCGAACCAAGTCTCTTTCTTCATTGGCTCTAAACTTGGGAGGGAGAAGAGTGGTGCTGTTTATTAGCCCCCACACATCCCAACTCGCCATTCAAATTATGTTCGTCTTTTTTATTTCACCGTCTACATCAGCGCTGTCCAGTAGAACCATCGTGCAAGCCGCACCCATGTAGCTGTAAATTTTCTGCAGTCACATTTAAAAAATCGGGTGAAACTGATTTCAAGAATACATTTAATTTAATGTAATCTTCCCAAAATGTTACCATTTCAACATGTGATCACTTAAAATTATTAATTGGATATTATATATATATATATATATATATATATATATATATTTTACACTATGCCTTTGAAATCCAGTGGGTGTTGTATACATACAGCACATCTTATGTGCTGAGTGGCCACGTGACCAGTGGGGCTACCATATTGAACAGGGCTGGTCTACATGATCTTGCCTATCAAAGAAAGGAAGGCTAGTTTTCCACTGTGATTTTGTCTAGGTGAATTATACCAATGAATTCAGGCTATCTCTCCCTTCCCCCCTCTCTCCCACAAACACGCGCCTTTTTCATTTTCTCAAGGGACCAGGAATAGGTTCAAGTTGTTTCTGACATACTTTCCCCCAGACAGCTATTTCTTTGAGGGTAACATGTGCCTTGACTAGAACACATGGCCATTTGGTTTGCTTGCAGTTAAAAGTGAGATTTTAGACCCACGGGACTGTGATTTATAGATGACAATATTTTGCATTTTTTTCACAAGTTCAAGGGCCGCCTGAAGTTCATAGGTGAAGATGGACCTGGGTGAGCTGGGGTGACACATGAAGGCCCCTTGAGGCCACCCACAGGTAGTCAGGTGCTGATGGGTCTGGATGAGTGAGGTTTCTGAGACCTAATTGAAGCCCCTCCCCCTTCCCCAGCTGACTTGGGGTTTAGCTGAATGACTGAGATTCCTAATTTCTTTCTAGGAGGGGGGAGGGAGCAGGTCACCAGCAGGACTGTTGACCACGTGTTTGCTGCTGTCACAGACCTCAGCCTGGGCAGGACAAATTCACTGGCCCCTCTGGAAGGACCAACGCTTTGGAAAAGCCTGGAACTTGTGTGTGTTAGATTGTGGCATCCCGGGGCACCTGACAGCTGCTTCTCCACACTCATGGGAGGACGCCAACGTGTGCGACTCCCTCGCTTACTAAAAGAGAGGTTACATCTCAGAACCGATAGGCTTCTCAGAATTCCTGACTGGCCGTGGTGGAGTCAGGCATGGGGCACCCATGAGAACCCCACTCAAGCCGGAAGAGCGAGGCCAGTGGTGGGGTGGGGTTGCCCTGAGGGACACAGATGGTTAAAGGGCATCTCTTGGCCAGGAGCACAAAGCCTTAACTAACGGGGAGACACAATGAGGTGAAGGCACCCCTTCTCCAGGATTCCGGGTGGTGTAAGATTAGACATCAGAGAAACAGACGGTGATGCGGAGAGAGCCCAGGATGGAAGGCACTGCCGGAGGAGAGAGAAGGGTCGCTGGGGCTCCAAGTCAGGGAGTGGGGTGCAGAGACAGGTGCAGCGAAGAGTCTGTCTGGGAGCCCCTACCCTCTGGGAGGAGAGGCTGAGGCTGAGGGGTGGATGGGGAGGGAAGGACGGCCTCTCCGCCCCCCACCCTCCACCTCCCACCTCCCAGTGTTGGCTCAACAGCCTTCATAAGGACTGGACTTTCTGTCAAGGACATTTTCTCCGAGACCACAAATCCACGCCCAAATGGAGCCCTGGATTTCATTTGGGTTACACGTGGGTCGTGGCTGAGGCACCCAAATCCAGGAATGGAACCCGGCGGGTAAGTGTCGGAGGTAGGTCTCCGACCTCCATGCTAACTCACTCTTTCACGTTTTCTCCCAGACATTCCACAGAAGAAACAAAACCCCAGGCTTAGTGACTACCTATTCTGTGCCTGGTATCATTACTGATAGCGTTTATTTGGAACTTTAAGGACACATACACTAAGCCAACAGTATTAAATGTGGAGAAAGCTGTCTATTTACTGATTGTTGACGCACAATGAGCAACCTTTGTGGAATCTCTAGAAGTAAGAAAGAGTTTTATTCGAGCCCAAGTGAGGACAGCTGCCGGGGAAACACGCTCGTCACAGGGAAGAAAGTGCTCCGGAGAATGAACAGTTTTTACAGGGTTCTATACTTTCTTATGTCTTGTAAAAGCTCAAAAGATTATGGATTTGCATTCAGGCAGGAATCACAAGTTTTATCAGAGAGGAATGCAGGGAGGCACCTGGGTGGCCCGGCTCAGTTGGTTGAGTGTCTGACTCTTGATTTCGGCTCAGGTCATGATCCCAGGGTTGTGGATGGAGCCCCAGGTCTGGCTTTGTGCCGAGCACATCTCCTCCTTTCCCTTCATACTGTCCTTCTTTTTACCCCCATTCAGGGACACAATTTCGAGAAAAAAAATCTCAACAACAACGCAACAAGTTTTTGGCACACAGATGTTCACTTTACCGCTATGTATACGTTTTAAAAATCGCCATTAGTCCAAATGTCCCTGAAAGAGGAGGGCAGCTACCGGACCCCTTGCTGCTTTCCTTCTTCCGGCTCTTTTCAGTAACCATACTGTTTTACCATAAACTCTTACCAGTAACCAGCCGGGGCAAAGGCACGGGACCCAGTCCTGACCAATCAGAGTGGTCCCTGCACCTTTGCTCCGCCCCTTTCCCCTTGGACGCCCCCAACTGGAAAGAAGGGGGCCACTGGGGGGTTTGGGGGTGCCGGGAGGGGTGGGCCCTCTTCCCTCAACCTGGTGGAAGCCTGGCTAACAAACGGGAGCCTGATGACGGGCGTTGAGGAGGGCACCTGTTGGGAGGAGCCCTGGGTGTTGTATGGAAACCAACGTGACAATAAATTTCATATTAAAAAAAAAAAAA